TTGAAAGCTTACCTTGCATGTTTTGAGGTCAATTTGCAGATCATCGAGGATTGCTTCAAGGCCTGGCAAGTGAGCGTTCGAAAGCGTGCTGTAGCATTTGTTGCGTAAATCCTCTAACTTGGAACGTAGTTTGTCCACTACTTGAAGCTTTTGAATAAAATCCATTGGAATGTAGTTTGTCAACTACTTGAAGCTTTTGAATAAAATCCGTATTATCCACTGGCACTTCATCTTGTAAGAATGACTTTATTCTCGTTATTTGCAATTTTATATATCCTCGTTTTCAAGTAAAGACTGTTAAATGCGAGAGTTCCACAAGAGCCATTTTCTCATTAATAGTTTCGTCTTTCAGATTTTTGTTTTAAACAGTTCGAACTTCATTGGGTCGACGTTGACCATGTTTCATGTATCCGTCAAATTAGACTGTAAGTTAGTTTTGCAACACAAACTTTAATGAACAGAATTGTTTACAGTTACACAAATTACAGTTAGATTGTTTCAAACCGAGAACAGAAGTATAATTTCTTAATGATTACGTAGGTCAAGAGTAAAACTCTCTTCATTGTTGCCTAGACAATCTCCACTCGCGCAATAGCAGATGCCACAAAAGTTCAAAGAAAGAAATATTTCAAACTCGTAACACTTGCAAAGAAGTTAAGAACATGGCAGGTTTTTCATGTGTTCATAGTAGTGCTTCAAATTAGTATAGAGCATACTGTAAGAAAGAAATCCAAGGATGTAAATTACCTTTATTCAGAAGTGGACTGTGAGCAGAGTAAGATGGAAGAGCGAAACATATATATGACAGACAGTAAGCAAGAAAATTGCTGTTAGTGGTCTCTAGTGACTAAATCACTTTGGAAAAAGTGAACATTCAAACATAAAGTTGACTCAAATGATACTTCACCATCTCTAAATTTACACCTTTAATAGATGTTGGAAGGGTAGTTGCATGTTCTCTGTTTTTTTTTTTTTTTCAGCTATTTAGACAACTACAATCACTAGTAGAATAACATTGGCTGTTATCTGTAAAGAACTCCCCTCTCCCATCCCAGTCGCTGAGCTTCTGAATTCTTGTATACTTCATGTAACAGTTAATGTCATCTCCAATGGGTAAATTGCATATGGTACTGTGTGAGACAGGACACTTACCTATTAGTCACCTAGTGAACAAATTACGGTAAGATGCAATATTAATGAATCCCGTAACATGTTGCATAAGTCTTTAAAATAAAATACCAGTCCACCATTGCTACAGTTACTCATGAATGATTAGTATTAAGCTATTAGGTACCTAAGGTAAAATAATGCACTGAACAAATATTAATTTAGAAGTCAAACAACAAAAATCAGCTTTATATTTGCGAATTTCACAGGACTAATTTCATTGGTTTTACCGAATCATTGTCGTCAGCTGCCAAAGTGCAAATGAACTAGATAAGCTATAGTGATAAATTAAGGTAAGATAAGAATGAACCTCACAAATCTCAAAACCCTCGATTCCCAAGATTTTGGCTGCTATTGAAAAAGCTTCCAAATTCAGTAAAGTTTCAGATACACAGAAATAAATGATTAGGCATCTTATCGCCCATAATGTTAAATTTTACCTCAAGTCTTTGAAACCAAATCTAAACGTGAGAGAAAGAGCTACAATACACGAAATTTATTCTAACCCGGACATTATCATTTCAAATGCCAACAGAGGTGGCCACATAGTCATAGTGGACAAGAACACTTACATCGATGGGGTCACTAAGCTCTTAAACAAAGGACCATGTAATCCGATCCCTAAAGACCCTTCACCTTTGGACCTTTCAAAAATAAAAACTGCGACCAAATCTTCACAAATCTTTTCAACCAACTTAAACAGTTACTTATCCGATCAATTGTGAATTGTGCCAGATTATATGCTCTTCCCAAAATTCATAAAAGTGGTATTCCTTTCCATCCTATTGTATCGAATTTAGGCATTACCTCATACCCGTGAGCTAAATATTTAGTTTTTAGATTTTCAACTCTATTAGAAGATATGGTTTCTTTTCATGTAAAATCATTATTCACCAATGTTGATTATTCATCAGTGAAGGGTGCGTTAAGATGTCTAGAAACCAGACATTGTGAGTTTTATTTCTCCTGCATCGAAATTGATGACCTAATTTCCTTTAAACAACTCTGTTTGAAATAAACACATTATGTTCTCCAAAATAAGTATTACAAGCAAACTGAGGGATTAGCCATGGGAAATCCTCTTAGTCCCATCCTGGCTGATGGATTATTATGAATCAAAATTATTTGAAACTTTAAACTTCCCAGTTTGGTTCTGCTACATAGATGATGCATTTACCCTGTTTCATGATAATGAAAATGGTTTAGATAATGTTCTTTCAATAATGAATTCCACTGATACTGCTATTCAGTTCACTTTTGAACAACCAGTTCTCTTCCGTTCCTCGACATTTTGGTCACACGTAACCTATCTGACTTCAGTACTACTGTTTACCGTAAACCTTCATCGGTTTGCCTTCTGCCACTCAAGCAGTTAAAAAATTCTCATCTCAACATACCAAAAGGCATATTTGTTTTAGGAGATTATAAGAATTTTGTTGTCATTCTTTTCTTGCCATCAATTAGCTATAAAATTGGTTGCATTTTACAGAAATTTAACTTTTGGCGTTGTTTATTCTCCTATCAATAAAGTTTCATACTCGAGGACCCCATTCCGGATACGAGTTCCTTGAACATCCACTTCCTTCCTAAGAACACGAGGCATATGTTAGGAAAAAGGAAACACAGAAGTCCTCTGTTGCCCAGCATTGTTGGTCCGAAAATCACACTTTCGATTTTTCTGCAGCCAAAATTATTCAAAAAACATCTTCCATTGGTGAACTGGATTGTCTAGAGGTATTTCATATTTTAAAAAAAACTTTTTCTTCTAGTTAATGACCCTAATTTCAATCCATCTTTATTAATTATGTTTTAGTTTTCTTGTATCCTCATAGATGGCACCAGTAGCTTAACTCCTATTCAGCCATTCTTGTCTTGTTCATTTGCACTTTGGCAGCTGAGGTTAATAGTTTGGTAAAACCATCGAAACTGAAAATTTAAAAATATAATGCTGATTTTTGTTGTTTGACTTGTAAATTAATATTCGGTAGCTGTTCTTTTTCTTTTAAAATGCTGTCAGCTTGTGACATAGTGCTATGCATAATTGTAAGATCCTAGGATGCACTAATCACCTGTCAACCTGTAGGGTCATTAGGTTATTTTGAATGTACGAGATATGAAAAATGAGCAATGCCATCGATAGGGCTCCAACTTGGATGTTTTGAATACGCGCCAAATGTGCTAATGTTATGCCATGAAGGCATGGAGAAAGGAGGGAGAAAATATCTTATATACTCCCTCTTTTAAAGGGAGGGGTTAGGAGACCCAATCACCAAACCCTGGTAGTTAACCCCTTCGCGCCGACTGTCACGTATACGTGCCAGCAACGAACGCACTTACCTACCAGCCGACACGCAGGCGTGCCAGAGGATTGTTCCATTCTCTACCGACTGTCACGTATTTGTGCCAGTACTTTGGAACGTTTTTCAAACTATAATTTCTGCCACAAGATGGCACTGTATGTCCATATGGTTTCAGATACATGTAAATTAGACCTTCTACTCGAAATGAGAGAAGCATGACTCACTACACGTGTTTTTTTTTTGATTATATAAACAAATGGGGAAATAAAATGTTTTCTGAACGGCGTGATTTATGACGTCTCTTTAAATCGCACTTTATTCGCACGTGGTAGTTGTTTACTGTAAGTAGAGAAGTTTTATTTGCTCTAAAGTGTTGGGTATTTCGGTTTACAGTTCAGTTTTTAGAAAATAATTAGATCTTGTTAGACGTGAATTCCTTGTTTTTACCGTTGCAATGTTGAAGCGTCGAAAATGTTTAACAGAGCATGAAATAGCAGAAATGATGCAAACTTTGTTCAGAAGAGACTGATAAGAAAATGAGACGACGATGCTTCGTTTGTTCACATTCCCGGAAAAATCCTCCAAAACGGCAAATGAGTTATTACGAGTGCAAGGAATGTAACGTAGGACTGTGTGTAGATCCCTGTTTTCAAATTTTTCATACGAAAGGAGAATTTTAAGTAATATATTTAGTTTTCAGATGTATAATGTTAAAATTCATAAAATGGTGAGTAATTTAAATAAATGTGTAAATATGCATTTAAACAAGAAATAAGTAATTAAAGTATATATATAAAATATTTATAAAGCATAAGCCGTTTAAATACTCTATAGAGCATTATTAAACAATGCGTTGATACTTCGGAAATTTCATGGATTTAGGCTTAGTAGCAAAAAAGCCCCCGGCCCTGGAGAGACGCTCGCGTAAGTCACTGCCGGCCTCAGCGATAAGCGCGCGTTTTCGCTACCCGGCTGAAAGGGGTTAAGAATCATTAATCGCCATCTTTTAGTTCAGGCACCACTGTCTAGTCATTAAGTTATATTTGAAGGAGATGTGAAAAATAAGCAATGCCCTCGACGGGACTCGAACCTGGACCTCTCAAATATGCTTTAAGTGTGCTACTGTTACACCTTGAAGGCAAGCAGAAAGGAGGAAGAAAATATAAACATTTTTCCAACTTCCTAATGATTCAAGTTAATGTTACTGGTATTATCTGTGAAATTTTTGATTAAACATGTCACACCATGATGGTAACTTATCAATACGGACTATGCACAACAGAACAATGTAGTGAGCTTCCACTGTAATTCTGAGCACACATCATCTTAGTGCTTTATATTCTTCCCTAATGCCTGGAGTCTGTCATGCTAAATATATGCATATGCGAATACTAATCGGATTCTGGTGGTTTCATTATTGATTTTCCGGTTTGTTCTGTTTGTTTATTTTGCTATTATACTAGTTTCCACATTCCATTAAATAATAATAAGATAATCATATATCACACTTATTATTTATTTTATTATAAACAGATCATGAGGGTTCCTCCACATGAACTCAGACGAAGGTTGTTCATTACATTCAGAGGCGAAGAAGGACTTGATTATGGAGGTATTGCTAGGTATGTTAAAGAAAATAGTTGCTGGTTGATATTTTTATATTATATTTTAAATATTGGTAAGAATTTTTATAGTTGTTGGCTTGTTTGGTTTTCAATTACAGTGTTGCATTTAAAATCATTTTCCCCTTTCTTATAACTTTTGAATGTTTCTTACAGATCTCATACTATTGAATCCAAATGTAGCATTAAGGTTTGTCTCTTACAAGTGGGAAAGTGAAAAAGAACTATTATGTATTTCTCATTTCTACCCATATTTTTTTAATTAGGAAAGATGAAAAACTGTGGTGATTAAATGAAATAATATTATGACTGAAAGAGACAATATGCTCAATCTGTAGCAACGAGGTCAGGGAAATGCAGTACAAAGTCCACGTCAGGACTGCAGCAATTCTGGATTTTTTTGGATATTGTATCATAAGTATAGTAGCATGATGTAGAGAAATTATAAAATCAAAACTTTCAAAGAGTGGTTATGAAATCATAAAGCATTTATGATCTAAGTGAATCTGAATTTTCCAAAAATGTTCAGTGTTTATTTTTTGCATTGTAGATACATTAGGAATTTTATTTATTATATATATATATATATTGGAAAGCAAGAGAGATCGAAAAATTAGCAGTGCCTTTCATTGGAAATCGAACCGCGGACCTCTGGGATCGCTCCCAGCATGCAGACTGCCACACCACGAAAGCATGTCAAGACGGCGGGAGAAACACCTTATATACTCCCCCTTTTAATGGACAACTAGGGTTTTTAGGGGACGCAATCACCAAATCCTGTGCTGGGAGAATCATCATCCACCATCCTTTTAGTTCGTATGGCAGTGTAGAGACATTGGGGTTTTTTTGGGGGGGAAAGCAAGAGAGATTGAAAAATTAGCAACGCCTTCACTGGGAATCAAACCGCGGACCTCTGGAATACGCGCCCAGCGTGCAGACCACCACCCCACAAAGGCATGCCAAAAAGACGGGAGAAACACCTTATAATAAATGGCATTATTTAATATTTCTCTCAATGTAAGTTGTTTAAGTTGCTTTGTTTTCTGTGCTAATACATTCTCTTTAAATCTCTAGGTATACATAATTTCTTTTCAGTTATGAAGTTTCATTGTCCTGTAATTGTTATGTTGAGGATTCCCATTAAATTTTCATTCAAAATTTTGCTCACAACAACTTGTCATTCTTTTTCCTCACTTTTCAGATAGCAATACTCCTTGGATTTAGAACCATACTACAGCTTTTACTATTCCTTAGTTGATTGATAATTGGGGCATTGTCATTGTAATAAAAAACTTCTGTCATAGTGTCTTCATTTATTACTACTTATGTGCATTTGTTTAAAAAATCAGAATGCATTTCTTCTGTAGAAAATTGATAGCACATTTCTGCAATTTGATACATGATTGACATTACTGAAGTACATATTTCTTATCACTTTTTACAATTTGTTACAGAAATGGATTTTCTTTGTAAAAAATAAATTAATTAAATAAAGTAGACTAATTAATTGATTGCTCTCTATCCTCAGTGCTTCACAGAAAGCTAGTATCACTGATTTAGCTTCATATGAATCAGGGTCCCTGCATTCACATTTTTGCAATTTTTTTGTGTACTAATAACATTTCTGAAAGTTTGTTTTTGATAGCTTGGTATAGAACATCAGATGTAAATCCAGAACATGACTGATTTGTACATCGTATATATCTATACTGAAATTTCTGGAACTAATGGTGACATGCTATCATTAACAGCATTTAGAAATGTATGCTGCAAATTGTAACTTTAGTATTACATTTATCAAACTTGTGTGCTAAAAATTCATGAAGTACTGTCATAAACTCCTTATCTATATGTGGTCTATTGCTGCACAATGTGTTGGGGATGTGCACTATTTGCATCTGCAAAATATAAAGAACTTTTGCACAAATCCAAGAGATGTTGTTTATAACTTAGTGTATATTAATTCTTGATGACTAAAAAATGCTTTAAATATAGAAATAATTTATCATAATTTTCTATAATTTGTATAAATAAAATCATTCAATTGTTATTGTTATTATTTTGTTGGCACTAGTATTGTCTGTTATATAAAAATTCTGATAATTATTAACCATAATTTTTCCTTGTACCTACTTTCCATATGAACAGTATCTTGATGAAACCTTTCCGTGTGTTCATACAAAATAAACCCAAAATTTTAGGTAAAAAAGCCTAAAGAGGTGTGAAGATAAAGAAATTTGAAGGAAATATTACAATCCAAGACTTTCTGAAACCAGCTCTTCCTTCTTGTAATCCTTAAAGTTTTTGTAGTCCCGCTCCCAGATTTTTACAGGCTGTCTTGAACGGCATTCATGGCTGTTTTAGCTATCCTCGAGGTTACCTTAAAATTTTCTGATTTGTGGTCCAAAGAAAATTTTTTCTTTAATAGATTTGTGCTTGGGAAATTTCTCTTTTAAGAGAATCTATCATCATCTTTTTATCTGCAATTTTATGAACAGTTTGATAAGAAATAGTTTCATATGAAATTAAGTTATGACTAAAATAAGTCTTTTTATGGTCTATAGAATACATGTGTTTTATGTTTTATTCACCAGGTGCAAATTTATTTGCATATAAACCATTTTTTAGATGAAGTGATTGTTTTGTTTTGTTTTTTTTTTTTTTTTTTTCTAACTATTTCAGTAATGATAGTTTAAAAAAATATTTAATGATCAATAGCAACTATTCCATTAGCTTAAAAGTAAAAAAATATTTAAAGAATCCAGCTGCAGCCATTAGGTTGGTTAGCAAAAAGAGCATTGTGCGTGTGTTTTGTTTAGTTCAAAGGGGCTTTGTCCTTGAAGGACTGTTGTTTTCGTTTTACAATTTTGCGTTGGAACTCTGTAAATGGTGTATCACTTTTCAAATCTTTGCCACCAAATACTATCACTCTGCATTATATTTGAAGAAATTAAATAATGAAGAATCTGCATAAATGTATGTATGTTTCTTGCATTGTAATAAAACAATGGTACCCCGAGCCATCCAATTTTGAATGACGTAATTCCTACTGCGAATATGGGCATCTGAAAGCCCAAATTGGAAATTTGGAATTTGTTTTATTATCAATTTCATATTTTGTGAAACTTTAATGAATTTTTGATTAACAAACTCAATGATTTAAAAGCGAGCAATGGCAACACTCTACCGGGGGGGGGGACTTTTTATCTCCAGGGTGCAGAACTGTGTATCAGAAATTGTAAAGAACTGAATTTTGTAGTTTAAGTGAAAAGAACATGATATTTAATAATAAAGGTAATACACAAAATGTTAAAAAACGCCCCTTTGGATGTAATTTTAATCTGAGTTCATTTTTTACTTCCTTGTACGAAGTAAAAAGGAAGTGTTGTAATCGCGAAAAGCTTCAGGCAGCATATTTCAATGAAAATATCCACTTTGACCGCTTTCGAATGCAATTTAACAATGTTTTTTCGTGATATCTATATGTAAGGACAGAATAAAAGACTCTTTTCCTCCAAAAAAACTAAAAAACTGCTTTAAAATGAATTCTGAAGAGAATTTTTCGTGGCGTCTGTATGAACGTATGTATGTATGTACATATGTGTGTGCATACGTACGTATCTCGCATAACTCAAAAACGAGTAGCCTCAGAACGTTGAAATTTTGTATATAAGACTACTATAACATGTAGATGTGCACCTCGTATTTTGGTTTCAATCGGCCGCGCCAAACGCATATAAATATATTTATAAATATATGCACTATGTTACCCGACTCGGTGATCTCAGTTTCTTTACTCTTATATGTTTATAAATTGTACATTTTTTGCTTTAAAAATGATTGAATTATGTTGTTTTTATCTTCCGGTTAAAGTTTTTATGCCTTTCCTAATTCTGGAAGCAATATTTGTTCAATTATCAGCAATTTAAAAGCTGTTTAAGTGCGGTTAAGTTTTAAATAACATGGCGGACATATTTGTTTACATTTGAAACAGCAGAATTGTAGATTTGTTGCCAATCTAGAGACTAAGCTTCGCAACACAAAATAACGCCTTCATTTATTATTGCGAATTAAATCATGCTTAATCCTTTCTGGAATTTTTTTTTCGAGGAAATAAGTATTTAAGATTCACTTCGTAATTTTTAATACAGATATTTTGAGTTTTCATGTATTTTTGCCTTGTCGCGAAGTGAAAACTGAATTAACTGAATGAGAAATACTCAATTGTCTGTGAAAAACTGTTTCTTTTTCATTTTGTTTGCTTAATTTCTGTTATACATTGTTCTAGCTTTGTTATAGTATTTGAATAGAACATGTGGCAATGATTAAATAATTCTTTAAATGATATAAATTTTGTGCATTCTGAGTTATAATATGAATGAAATATAATACTGTTAAGTAAACCTAGCACCAGAGTTTCGCTATGGTAAACAAAGTGAATTTTAAAGAATGCATTTATTCTATTGTGGTTTATGCGCTGTCGGCAAAGTAGGTTTAATTCAATCTAATAAGTTAAATGAAATGCAAGAAAAAATGCGTATAATTTAATATTCGGTACAAGGAAGTCATGTGGTGTACACATCAGATTTTTTTCTCACCCCCCCTTTTTCTTAGTATATATATTTTTAAGTCATGCTAGGATATTGTCTTAAGTCTTTCTCTTATTAGTACATCATGAGACACAGAACAAAAGAGAATTCATCCTCATTAGAAAATAAAGCTGCTTTAAAAGTTTTCTTTTGCATGAATAAGTAAAAAGGTAATTTACATGACAGCTTCTGTCCAATCATCAATCTTTGACCTATTGAGACAATAATGTTTTTGTTCATAGTTAATAAAACTTCATATGGTTATTATAGCTTATAGCATTTGTTTAACCAATTCTTATAAAGAAATCTATAATTGGCTTTTGATTAAAAAAAAAAAAAAAAAAAAAAAAAACAGTAGTTTTGTTCTTTGTTTAAGAATGTCTTTTATTGTAAAAATTAGCTTAATAACTAATGAATTAAACTAATGGATGATGATGTATTTTTGAGACGATTTTTGGAGTAAATTCTATCTAAATTATACAGAATATATACGGAAGCTTAGGGAAGATTTTGTAGCAGAATAGTAGTTTTTAAGACGTGCTAGTATTAACCATTGTATTTGGATCAAGTTAAAATTTAAATGATACAAGAATTTTAATGTATCATTAAAGACAGTTATTTAATAATTGCATCATTTTGTAAAAAAAATAATAAATTATTCTGTTTAATGTAAAATATATTTTTTTATAAAAGCAAGAGGTTTATATTTTTTTTTATACAGTCAAAAGTCGTTAATCCGACTCGTCGGACTTCGGCGATTCCTCCAGGTTTTTTTATTTTTCCTGATTATAGATCATTAGTTTAATTCTCGTAAGCTGGCATGCAGAAATTATAAAATTAAAAATATGAAACCGTTAATTATGAAATAAAGAACAATTATGATCTAAAGGGTATCAAAATTTACAAAAAAAAAAAAAAAAAAAAAGAGCTTTAATTTATTTATTTACTTACTTTATTAACCTTTCTTCAATGTAAGTTGTTAAGTTGCTTCGGTTTAGGTGATAATACTTTCTCTTTAATTCTATAAACAGACATAATTTCATGTTCAGTTACAAAGTTCCGCTGTTCAAGTCCCGTAATTGCTGTGCCGAGAATACCGACTAACTTGTCATTCGAAATTTTTTCGTTTTCATTAACCTCTCTGTCACGTTCTTCATGTCTTTATCCATTTCTTGCAGCAATTCCACTTTTTGTTTGATGGACATTGAAACATACTTTCATTTTGTGGATCCTTTGAGAGTTCCAGCATCGGAAATTCTATTTGACATAATCGAAAGTTCAAGTTTACTTTTATAGTATTGCTCTTACAGTCCGCAAAAAAATAATAAGCCGGATCCAATTTGAAAATTAAGGAAAACGGCAATCATCAACATTATGAATAGATAATTAGATAATTTTAGCTTAACGTCCGTTTACATAAAACGCGCACGCGAAAACGTATTCTGCACTTGCACACACGCATTTGCGCAGACGTAAAAGGTCTTACGCGCACGCGTAAACGCCTATGCGCATGTGTCAATGCGGCACATGCGCAGAAAAGTTTTTAGCTTTGAGGTCTGGATTATAGATCATTCCGGATTATGGGTGTCCGATTAAACTTTTGACTGTATATAAACTTCAAACCACTGGGTTAGTTATTCTTCAAAGAGAAAAGGAAATATGTAGTAATAAACATGAAAATACTTAAAGCATCTTGCAGTTACATAAGTATTAAGTGTTGTTAGTAAACGAAAAAGCATCATATATTTCATTCTGAGAGAAATTTGTCCAAGACTAACACACGGTTAAAGACCTTTTTCTGCTCCCCAAACTCTCACACATTGATTTAGAAGTATGATTCACTGACTCACTGTAAAACCAGAGTTTAGTTACTGTTAAAGTCTAAAGGCACCTTAGTTTAAGGGAACCTTAAGATCTTATAACAGGGTTGCCACTCAAACAGGAGAATGAAATTCCCTGATTTTTCCAGGTTTAGCAAGTATGTTTTAAAAATCCAGCTATCCGTGTGGTGCGTATGGCTGTGCTGAGATGTAAATTAATATGGTACCACTTGAACCCAGAAAATTAGCCAATTGCCTGATTTTATATATATAATCCCCCACATTACTATTATAACTATAATAAGAGTTGTTTTCTCCAATTGAATTAGAATCTTCCTAATCTGTTTTAAAAAGTCTTTTTGGCAGACTTTTGCAGCTAAACGAAAAAAAAACTGTTTAAGATATTTAAAATAAATTCAGGTAAATGCTTGAGGGAGCAATCTGCAAAAGGTTGGTTGTATCATGCAGTTGCACACAATAATGTTATTCTAAGTTTAGTTATCATATAATTTGGGAGACAATGTACTTCCTGAATGATTTAAGGAAAAGTTTTCTCTCCTGTAGTCATTTGAAGCCATGATTTTGAAAGTGAACATCAATATATAAAAATCCATTTGCTTTATCTGAAATGCGTGATCTAGTATTCCGTCTTAGTATTAAATTGGCTACTGCCAAACAAAGCAACATAGTGCTAGTTTCAATGCAAAGTCATTCACTTTGCAAAAGGAAATGGAAATCCTGCAGCAGCAAGTATTTTGATATTGATAAAAGCTTCAAACATGAGTAGAAGACAAATTATTTCCAATAACTAATTGCCAAATAGAATATGATTTGCGGAAATGGGTAAGAAATGGTCTATCCTAAAAGAAAGTATACCAACTGGTCCTAGAAAATCACCAAATCGCTAGTAATGGCATTTAGCCACATGTAGAAATCAATTTTTTTTAATGCTCCTTCTCATTTTTATATCTGCGTATAATGTGCACTTGTAAATTTTTGAGTTCTTTTTTTGTATTAAAAATGCATTACACACTAGAATCAGATAGGAAATTGGCAATCTTTACCAGTTGCCTATCTATAGATTTCACTTTGGTCTTGAGCACTTTAAAGCATCTAAGTGATACTTCTTGCCATCCCATAAATGCACTCTACTGCTGATGGACATGTTTCCAATGAAACAGAATATTACATAAATAGTCCAGTGAAACGACACACTATGCTTTAAAAATATAATTCAGTGCTTCTAGTATCTGTGTCAGAAAGTATTTCATCATTAATTCAAATTAAAGCAAAGCACAGAAATCGACTCGGTATGTCGCAACCTCAAGCTTAGCTCCAAACAATAAACAGTGCACGGAATCAGTATGCTTATCTATCTCATTAAGTAAATACCAACTTTATTTAATTATATAAGAAAAAACTGAATTCTAACAGCTTTGTATTATTAAAAATGAATATAATTTTCTTAACTTATTTAATAAATATCAGTATAAATTAAATGAATTAATGTACTCTAAAAATGTATGTATACTGATAGAAACATGAGCTAAAAAACTGCTTTCGAAGAGGAGAGAGTAAGCTGGTCAGCAGCGCTGTTGCACCGATATGCACCGTCGTAAAGGTCTTACGCGCATGCGTAAACGCCTATACGCATGTGTCAACGCGGCGCATGCGCAAAAAGTTTTTAGCTTTGAGGTACGGATTATAGATCATTATGGATTATGGATGTCCGAATTAACGACTTTTGACTGTAATAATTCATTTGTATCTATTATGATGAGTACATAAAAATTTAAATTTTATAGAATTTGAATAGATGTCCATTTTTAGTAATTAATTTCTATGTATATCATAATCATGACAAGCTAGCATCTGAAATACGTAGAGAGGAAGTGTTAAGCATACCTGAATCAAGAGGGTTTAGGCCTCTACAAGGACTCTCTCTTTAGCTCTGGTTTTAGAAATAAACTATTTGACAACTTCCAGTTTGTTTAGGAAAAAAAAATCTGGGAACAGTATTCAGATTTGCTCGTATTTGTGAAAAAATGTAAACTAATATTTTAATTTTTTATTTATGTTTACAAAGTGTCTAACACTTTTCTTCTTAATATTCTTGTCTATTTGAAATTATTTGGAGATAAGTATTAGAGTAAAAAATGTTTAGATATTTAATGCAATGTCTTTATTTATTTTATTTTACTTTTGTTGTTTAGGGAGTGGTTTTTCCTTTTATCACATGAAGTCTTAAATCCTATGTATTGCTTATTTGAATATGCTGGGAAGAATAACTATAGCCTTCAAATAAACCCAGCATCATCTGTTAATCCAGACCATCTTCTGTACTTCAGGTTTATTGGTCGGTTCATAGCAATGGTAAGTTTGGTAATTTTGTTTTTCTAGAATTTTATTAGAATTTACCAATGCTAGAAATAAGATTATATTCAAAGTACTGCAGTAACTTTAGATTTAGATTAACAAACTCATTTATTATATTAGCTAAATTTCTTTTTGTACTTTTATTTGAAAACATAGATTGATAGTAATAGGAGTTTTTCCCACCAAAGAACATTAGATTTAAGTGAATAACAAAAGTCTAATCGGTACTTTTCCTAGACTTATTTGATAAACAGTGTTTGTCAATCTATGACATATGAAAAAAGCAAGATGAGTTAACATATTATGACTTGACAATGAAAGCTTCTGCATCATATCAACTGGGTTTACTTAGAATGATATCCATCATCAGGTACTTGACTATGAGTCAAAACGTTGATTTATACCAGATAAGGCCTGGACTGGAATGTCATGCTGTAAAGGGCTCCAATTGTCATTCCTGCTTTTGACAGTTATATACGTATCAACGTACCATGCATCACCAGATGGAGAGAACCACAGCTACAGCCACGACAGTAACCTCATGGATAGCCACATCAGGATAGGCTAGAAAGTCACAGCTCTGTCTTCTAGATAGGACTATATAACATTGCACTTCTGATCATTTTCAACACTGCACAGCTGCAAGGAGGAATGCAGATTTTCAACACTCTATCTTACAGAGTTGAAAAGGGGGGGGGGAATGTGTTAGTTAAAATTGTAAAATTCAGGACTTAGTAGATTCATCCATTTTGCTAGAATTTCCCCCTTCCTACATACTTTGTTAAAATATCAGTGAGCATTTCTGCTGTAGACTCATGCTTAATGTCAAGTTCTTCTCTTATAATCATTTAATGTAATAAAAACAAGTATAAATATTAATTCAAAAGTCAAACAACAAAAATCGGCGTTATATTTACAAAACTTTCACAGGACTAGTTTCAATGGTTTTACCAAACCACCATCCTTAGCTGCAAAACCGCAAATGAACAAGATAGGAAATAATGATTAGATAAGAAAGCCTGGACAAGAATAAGCAAGTGGCGCCATCTGTTGGCGAAACCAGAACTAAAACATAATTTCTCTAAAAGCCGAAGGCAAATTTGGATTGGAATTAGGATCGTTAACTAGAACAGAAAGATTTTTATGATTGTGAAATGCCTCTAGAAAATCCAGTTCTCCAATGGAAGATGTTTTTTGAATAATTTTGGCAGCAGAAAAATTGAAAATATGATTTTCGGACCAACAATGTTGAGCAACAGAAGACTTCTGTGTTTCCTTTTTTCTAACATATGCCTCATGTTCTTTGACGCGAAATTTTAAGGCTCTCTTAGTTTGGCCAATGTAAATTAAACCACACTGGCAAGGAATCCTATAAATACCCCAGGAATTCATATCCGGAATGGGGTCCTTGAGTATAGAAGTTGGAATTTTATTGATGGGAGAATAAACAACCCGAAAGTTAAATTTCTGCAAAATATGTGCAACTTTATAGCTAATTGATGGAAAGAAGGGAATGACAACAGAATTTTTATAATCTCCTAAAATAAGAGTGTGGCTTTTAGTGTGTTGAGATGAGAATTTTTTAACTGCTTGATTAATAATGTTGGGTGAAAAGCCCCTGTCAATAGCTATTGCTTTTAAATAATTTAGTTCTTCATCAAGGGCTAGTTTGGAGGAGCAAACTTGAAGAGCACGGAAAACATAGGAATAAAATGAAGCTAACTTTTGTTTAGTAGTCGGATGACATGATTTAAAGTGTGGTGGAAGGCAAACCGATGAAGGTTTACGGTAAAACTGTAGTACTGAAGTTGGATGTGTTACGTGTGACCAGAATGTCGAGAAACGGAAGAGAATTGCAAGTATCAAGTTCAAAAGTGAACTGAATAGCAGGATCAATAGAATTCATTGTTGAAAGAACTTTATTTAAATCATCTTTATTACCTTCAAACAGGGTAAAAAGTATCGTCTACGTAGCGGAACCATGCCGGGAAGTTTAAAGTTTCAAACAATTTTGATTCATAATAATGCATGTAGATATCAGCCAGGATGGGACTGAGGGGGCTTCCCATGGCTAATCCCTCAGTTTGCTTGTAATATTTATTTTGGAAAACAAAATGTGTTTGTTTCAAACAGAGTTGAGTGAGAGAAATTAGCTCATCAATTTCGATGCAAGAGAAATGAAATTCGCGAAGTCTGGTTTCTAGACATCTTAATGCACCCTCCACTGGGACATTGGTGAATAATGATTTTACATCAAAAGAAACCATGAGTAAATTACTAGGAGAAATGTTTTTAACCTTTTTACAAACTCTATTGAATTTTTTATGGTGTAAATGTTATTGTCTAATAGAGTTGAAAATCTAGAAACTAAATGTGTTAGTTTAATGGCCATAAATTATTATAAATCCATTAAATGTTTACATGGCCGAGAATACGACAATGGTTCAAACATAAGAGGTAAAGAGTTTTTTGATATATGCTCAGATCGTTGCTTTTCTGATTAAAAAGTTACCATGTTAGCATAATCTGTACTGACTTAACTTTTTATGTAAAGAACAATGACACAGCATCACAAAAATGATAAATGTTGCACAAATTACTACTATTGCAACAGTAGACACAAAATAAGGATTAAGAAATATGTCGAATGCGTCTACCCTTACATATACTACTTATATGCATCGGCATCATGTATTTTCACATTCAAATAATAAGAGAACACCAGAGATGAACTCCTGCCGTGGTTATACCTTTCAGTCAAATGCGACAGTATGCTAGCGGGAAGGGGCTTTTAGACCTGGCAAGTTCGAGGATGCCTTAACACAGTTTAAACGCCACAACCCCTAGAGGCGATCCAAGAGGCCGCTAACCTATCGGACAAGCTAAGACTAAGCTGAGTCGACAGGAACACTTAGCAATGCACATTCCACATCCTGGTTCTGAAGGGATGATAAAAACATCTGCCATCAACAGGGACCCCCAATGCCGGACCGCAGAACGAAGTCACTTAAACACTGTCAGACAGACCGAGCCACCAATCTGGTCTGCTAACATTATGTCATGGTATGCAGATGTCGGCTTTAGACACCCCAGGGGAAACCATGGAAGGATATGAATATGCAGTTTTGAGGCTCCAGTGCCCATTGGAAACCTCAAGCTGTTTAAAGACTCGCTGAATTTGCTAACTCCACTGACGGGGTGTTTTGCCCCAGACAACCATGAATATCTGACTATATAGCTCAACCACAACCAGATAAGAATGCCATATAGCCCCTGCTGAGCCTGAAACAGCCATCTTTATCGATGACTCCAGTCCTGGGGAGACTGATTTTAAACATGCGTGGCCGTGACTGCCTAGGTACACATCCTAATCAGTAGCTTCCCAGGTTTTACCTGAGCTGACCCTGGAGGGGCGTTCAAATAAGACAAGAATTTTACTGCTCAGACAGGCAATTAGGCGAACTGCTTGTTTTAATGATTGCACGATGCCTTTTTGACTCGGCTTCGTCATGCGCCGCACGACCTTGGACCTATTGTCAGTGCGGGCCTGTCTACAGGCAAAAATGTTTCCATGTATAAACTCGATAAATATATTCATTTAATTAGCAGAAAGTTTGAGTTTTATGTTTATTCATTTTTATTGTAGCTTTTAGGTAATTATTAAAGTTTACATATTATAATTTTGGTGATTTAAATGAATATACAATGCATTTTTTAAAACATGACTGATCTTCAATATCTATCATTGTATTGTTTAAATTACTTTTAAAAATAAGATTAGCTTCTCTGAGTATTTTTATAATAACTCGGTATTGATTCATACTTTTAAGGTTTTAGCAAAATTTTGTTGAAAAAAAGCAGTTATACCTGATTTTAAAAGTCTGAATTTTTAGTGATGCAAGAAAAAAAAAATCTATACTTATTCATTGTTTTTGCCATATGCTTTTATTTTTCCTATGTTTTTGTAAACATAAAATTATTTTAACAGGCATTATTTCATGGAAAATTCATATATAGTGGCTTCACATTACCATTTTACAAGAGAATGCTAGGAAAGAAATTAACTATGAAAGATATAGAATCCATTGATCCTGAATTCTATAACTCACTTGTTTGGATAAAGTGAGTTTTGTTTTTATTATAATTTATTGTGATTACAATGATTCCATTCATAAATACTGAATACTTTATAAAAGAAAACTCTGTGCATGAATATAGCAAAATGTCTGAAATGTCTAATCATGTAAATGTTCTGATCTTATTTTATATTTGTTTTCAAAATCAGGACTGAATAACCACACATATAGTTACTTTAACAGTCTAATTACTGATACATTAATTACATATTTGTGAGATTCAGTTTCTTGGCTATTTTAAATTGATATTCAAGAAATTTTATCAAATTCCTATTTCACTTGTTTCAGTATGTATAATTATACCAATTAGTTTTGATTAAATTCATTATTTGTTCACTATACAGTCAAACTTCTGTGAACTAAAATTGAAAAGACAGAAAAAAATTCAGTTAATAAAAGCTTTAGCTGAAAGAAAATATGAATTTCAAATCCTACGCTTCATTATTTAGTTAAATGTTCATTAAAATTTCAACAGAATTTAAATGCATTTAAATTCTTTACATTCAAAATGGTGCTAGGACATATTTAGATGCTTAAAACTGTGTGGAAAACCTGGAAATTGTGGAAAGGGATAGTCTTCTTAATGACTATAAGTAATTATTAAACAGTAAGATATCTGGCCAAAAGAAAGATTTGAAGAGAAAAATTAAAGCACAAGATTCTAGAAAAAAGCTAATATTTTTCTTTAAAAATTGTTCATTTAATTTAAAATGTTATAAAGGAGATAAATTGTATGATGTAGTATGTATTGAATGTATTGTCCCTTCACTAACAGAGGTTATCACAGTTTAAAAAATTTAGGTAATTAGTAGCTCTATTTCCCATAGAAAGTTTTGTCACTTTATTATTATTGTATTATTGGGGGAGTAAGATTTTTTTTTTTTTTTTTAAATAAAGCCCCGTCACATTCAACAGTTTTTCACTGTGAGTTACCTTTCTTGTAAACTTTTAACATTAAGTAAAATTCAACCTTAGATTCACATTAATTTAGAGGAATAATTATGCATTTCAGGAGAATATGGCGTAAGTCTTTCTCTTTCAAGAAGCTGTAGTGCAGAATAATTTTTGTAATGCATTCATAATTTCTTATGTTCATAAAATTAATTCCAGTCTATGTTTAAGTTTTCTTTAATATTAAAGCTGGTTTTGAAACAGTTTACTGTCTAAGAAATGCTGTTTGTGTTTTATAATACTGAATTTAAAATAGTTTGGCAGATGAATCAATATAAGAATTTGGCCATACAGACTTTGAGAGATTGTACTAAATTTAAATTGTTTTGTGTATAGTTTACAATCTCAATTTTTTTTTTAATTAAGCAAATGCATCAAGTTATATAACATATAGTAGAATATGGCAAGAAATGCAGAGAATAAATGTCCCAAGTATTTTCTTCCCAGAGCAGTCTTGGCTGTGCTGTGCATTTTGAATCAGTTTTAATCACCATATATATCTGTCAGGTTTTAAAAGTGCTCCCCCCCCCATTTTTTTTTACAAAAGCTGTTCCAATATTACAATAATTGTAATTTTTTTACAATTTTTTAATTAACTATCAATTCTATTTCCCTTCTGTCCATTTGAATTTGCTTTATTTAGTGTTATTTATATCTGATATATCATAAAATAACTCAAAAAAATTCAGAATTAAGTGAAAATATATGTCTATGTAACTATTTTTCAGAGAAAATAATATAGAAGAATGTGGCTTAGAGTTGTATTTTAGTGTTGATTTTGAAATCCTTGGTCAAATTCAATCACATGAATTAAAACCTGGTGGTGGAGAATTGCGTGTTACTGAGGAAAACAAAGATGAGTATTTGAGGTATGACTTTTTGCATTTTGTTTGAAAATTTGCACTGATATTTTTATGTTAAAGTAATATTTGAAATTATTGGAGGTATTAAGGCAGCACGAATCAGCTTAATATTCATAAATTTGCAGGACTAGTTTCAAAGGTTTAAATATGAAATGTTCTTCAGCTGCAGAAGTGCAAATTATGAAAGAGAAGCCTGTGCTCAGATGATAACAATGAGAATCACCTGAACCTAGGTTTCTCTTTTGCCATTTGCATTTCTGCTGCTGAAGAAATTTATATATTTAATCCTTTGAAATTAGTCCTGTGAATTTAAGAATACTATCCTGATTCTTGTTGCTTTAACGCCATCAGTAATTGTTATTCAGTGTGTTATTTTTGACTCAAGTTTAATGTGTAGAATTTTGTTAATCTAAATAAATGTAAATTGTTTTTGAAGTTCTGTAAAGTTCACTAAACTGTTTGAGTATTTGAGTTTTCTATGATTGCAGCTAAAAAGATAAATCATTAAGAATAGAAAATGCCATGAATGTAACAAGTAATTAATAGTTATAAACAGATTTATAGTTTTCAAAGTGAATTAAGAGATTAAAATTCATAGCCTTACATCATTACATATAAGTGAAATACGTGTGCATCTGATATTATTAATCATCATTTTACTATCATAAAAAAGACAGACATTTTATAAAGTGTCAAAATTTTGATAGAAATATAAATTTGCAATGCTTGCAGTGCATAATAAGTGGAAAATTTGAAAAGTGCATTATGTAAATTTGCCGTAAATTGCAGTTAATGTGTGTCATGGTAATAGATGAAAGACAGCACTTCTAACTTAAACTATCCAAAAATCAACCGTAGACTTGTTATTTTGATTTATAAAAATGACTTCAACCTTCTAAATAAATGTCATGTCCAAAAATAAAAATACTTTTACTCTTTAAAAAGAAGAACCTGTCATATTACCTCTTAAGCTTAGAGTCATGTCTAAAGTTTTGTCAGTTTGTGTGAATGAACTTGAAAGTCATTTCTTAGAGTGTTAAAACACTGCTCTCCGAAAGTTAAGGAACAGCATGTTTTTCAAAGCTTACCATTACAAAATTGTCAGTAACATTTAAATTCACAATTCATATCATGACAGTAATAATAAATAAAATATTTGCAAAAATTGCAAATTGGTTTAATAAAATATTTGCAAAAATTGTAATTATTTTCGCAAATGTTGATCTTTAGTTGTTATTACAGTTTCGTGGACTAGGAGAGTCTTATCAATGTCCAAGAGAAGTCGTTTGCCCAATTTGTGGCAGGTGATCGGATGGATGGGAATGGGGATGTCACAAGCTGATGCTGCTAAACATCTCAGTGTCTCGTAGTGTGGTCTACCAACTATGGAATCAGTTTGAATCTGATGATTCTGTGTCTGGATGACATGTTCCAGGCAGACCTAGAGTTACAACACCTCCGAGAGACTTTTATTTAGCTGTTTCTACCCAAAAAAGTAGCATTACTGGGACTCAGCTCATGGCTGATCATTTAGTGGCAACAGGAACAAGAATCTCTGCTACTACACTGTGCAGATGCCTGCACAATACAGGTCTGTAGGCAAGATGACCATTTGTTTGTGTCCCCTTGAGCCGAGGACACAGATATGCCCGTTTATGTTGGGCAAGAGAATGCATCTCCTGGATCAGTCAACAATGGGCATCTGTTCTCTTCTTAGACGAGTCCAGGTTCACATTGGAGAGTGATTCAGGTTGTCAGCTGATCTGGAGGAAATAACGCACCAGATGCAACCAATCCGACATTCTGGAAAGAAATGGTTACAGAGGTGGAATAATGGTTTGGGCTGAGATCTCTCAGTGGTCACACTGACCTGCATGTATTCAGTGGAAGAACTTTGACCAGTGTGAGATATATCAAGACAAGATCCTTGATCAATATGTCTGCCCATATGCCGCTGCTGTTGGTCCTGCATTTCTTCTGATAGACAACAGCGTGCAACCACATCGAGCTTGGGTTGCTGAAGAATATCTTGAGGGCCATGGTATGGAGTGGATGGAATGGCCAGCTTAATCCCCAGATCAGAATCTGATAGAGCATCTTTGTGGCTACCTTTTGAGACAGGTTGCTGCTTTAAGTCCTCCTCCAAGGTCTTTAGATGAGCTTGAGCAAGGATTACTCCGGGTCTGGTCGTTGCTCCCACTTTACTGACCAACAACATAATCGACAGCATGGAACTTTGCTGCCACCAATGTATTGCAGCTAGAGATGGGCACTTTCCGTATTAGAGCCCATCTTTGTAATCTTATCACTCTATTTTTCCTCAAAAAACTGTGATATACTCTTTCTCCAGGACTGGATTTCTCTGCTAATAGTGCATTTTTTTGTTGTAATTCATGTTTGTGTTGAACACGTCCTGTAAATTTCTTGTTTCTGTGTTGCTTCATTCTCAAATTAGACACACAAAACATGCTTACTTAACTTTTGGAAGGCAGTATATATTGCATATTGTGAAGTCTTAATTTTATAAGCTGGCAAATATTGTAATTAAAAAAAAGGCATATTTCAAAGGAGATGGATATGGGAACTAACCAAAATCCATTACTTATACTACAAGTTTCATGGACAGTGGAATTGTACAATCTCATGAAACAGTAAATCTTTCTGTGTAGTAGTATAGTGGCAATTTATTGCAGGTTTTGCATATAAACATCCTATCAAAAAAGGGGGAAAACATTTTTGTAAATTGATTGAAGTAATCATTTATTTTCATGGCGAGTTCAGTGGGGGGGGAAAAAGAGTTATTATAAATATGAATAAAAATGGGTTAATTTAAGGAAAACTTTAATGAAACTTCATAGTTTAGTGTTTACTAGGTCAGGATTCATAATGAATTATACTTTTGAATAAAATATTTTCATTGTGAAGGTAAAGCTAATTTTTTTATTATTATTGTTATTTGAGTGTAACTAGTGGATAATTGTCTGGTATGAATGCCACTACCTTCATGTCATCTTGTCTGTTCTATCCAAAAAAGGAGCTTTATGTTACATAAGCTAAAGTGAACATTTAATTTCATGGTGAATTTAATGCAAAAAGACTTCATTGTAAATAAAGTGGATTAATTTATGAAAAAAAATTTATTATTTTGAAAATAAAATATTTTAATTAAAGCAATTTGTATTCAGTCTATACAATAAATTAATTAAAAAGTAGTAGCTAAAATATTTTATAGAATCATGGTAGTATGAAGTGGTACAATTTTGTATATTTAATAGTAATGTGAATTTAATTAAGTGCATATTTGTAATCTGTTTCTAAGGTAATCCATCATTATGTTTGAGATTCACATTCTTTTCATTGTAAGTAAATTATTTTTCACCATGAAAGAATTCATTTGCACTTGATGTTTGTCCCTGGTAAATAAAGTGTCAAATTACTGTGTCATTACATACATTTTGTATTGAAATTTTCAATTTAGGAAATGTTAAAATATTTTGCATCTCCTTGTATCATTTGAATAAGTTTAAAATTTTAGGCACTGTTTTTATTATTAGGAAGAGGTGTGTAACTAATAATAACTGTTGCTAAATCCATAAGCTAATTTTTCTTTAACAGGAAATTTGTGTTTTCAGTAAATAAAATCATCTGCATGTTACAGTACACTTATATAAAATCACTTTCATATAACTTTCTAAAAAATAGTCTATTCTCAGAAAGTAATTCGTTTATATTGTTTAGTGCATAATTTGCTCTCTGAAATTTGTAAAATAAGCAGTATTTTTGTCTTTGAACACAAGTTTTTTTGGGGGATGGGGGAGGGTTGTTGTTTCAACCAGCAACTGAGTGCTTGGTAAAATCAGCACAAAACTATTTAAGGAACTTAATCTGTCAACTCAGAAATTTCAGTGTTTAGGTTATAGCCTACAGAATAAAACATCAAGAAGGGGATGTCACACCAGAGCCTCAACAGTGGTTTTTTAGATTTTGTCCGCACTAAACTAGATGTACAAGTGATGCCCAAAATTTGACTGAGAAAACACAAGAAAACAAATTCAAGGGCCTTCCATCCTTCTTGCCCAGCTATCAGATATCTTGAGGGGACTTCTGGCTTGCTAATATTTTAAATACCTGTCTGCCACATAGGCTTGCTTATAAACATTCAATTCTTTGTAAGGATTTGAACCTCGGCCCAACAATACAATATGGCAGTCATATCACTAACCACGATACTGAATAGGGTGGCTGTGGTTGCCTACAATGGAGCATTGCCGGTGAATTGTTATTTACAGGAATAACCTAAAATTAGGAGAATTTGTTTCATGTGGAAGTGTTGCATTTAGTGAAAAATGAAACTTTGTTGTTTTTCAGTAATTTAAACAAATAAGCTCTTCATGAATAATCTAACTCTGAAATGATAATATTTTTAAACAGGTTGATGACTGATTGGCGATTCTCTCGTGGTCAAGAAGAACAAACAAAATCATTCCTGGATGGATTTAATGAAGTTTTGCCACTAGAATGGCTACATTATTTTGATGAGAGGGAATTGGAGGTAATGTTTTTGCAAATATTTTTTCATGCATCAAAATTGTCCTTCTAAAGTAATTTCAGTTTTTTAATCTGATTTGTATCAGTTAAAGTAAATCTTCTAGAGTATAGAATAAAAAATTTTATACTTTATATGCATGTATTTTATCTTAAGTTTTATATATTAATCTTTTTATGCCATAGCTGATGCTGTGTGGTATGCAAGAAATTGACATTGAAGATTGGCAACGTAATACTATTTACAGACATTATACACGTACTGGGAAACAAATAATATGGTTTTGGCAGTTCGTGAGAGAAATGGATAATGAAAAACGAGCTCGCTTGTTGCAGTTTGTAACAGGTACTTGCCGAGTACCAGTTGGTGGCTTTGCAGAACTAATGGGTATGTTGATTAGTTATTTCTTTTAATATTTTTTTTTTTTTTTTCTTTAGAGAGAGAGAGAGAGTATATTCTTTATTATTGCTTTTCCTGTCGAAAATTTCATTTTGCAGCATTCACACAGACTTAAGAAATTAGAGAAATAAGAAGTAAAAGGGAAAATACAAACTTTAAAGTAAAAAGTCATGAAATTTTTTTAAACAAATTATTGATCATTACATTCAAATAAAAAAGTTTGTGTTTTAAATAATTACCAGTAAGCAAAATAGACCTTGCAAAAAGAAAAGCAAATGAAAAAGTAATCTTTATTGTGCAACACATTTTATCAATCTCTTATCTTGTGCAGTTTTATCAACCCATGCCACCCATTACTGAATTGTTATTTACTGCTCTCATTAAAAATATGTAACAGTTTATCACTGAATTCTTGATGTAGAAATGCAGTTACAGAATGTAGTACTTTATTAGTGGAAACTTGCTCTTAAACAGTATATCTAACTCTGTTTTTAAATGATAGATATGTTTCTGAAGAACACACGAAAAAAAAAAAAATTAAAAACTCATTATATCTAAGAATATTAATGAAATTCATCCATGATCTGTTGAGCAAACCCGGCCCTAGTTTCCTCTGCTGCTGTTTCAGTTGTTTTACACATGAATTCAGTTATTAGCCATTGGTTTCATGTTTTGGTTATGCTGTTATATAATTCTGTGTAAGAGGCTATCTTCAACTTGAATATTGTGGCGAGGTACTTCCTTCTTCTCCAGTTATTATGCAGTCTGTTTGTGCATGCTCGTATTTTGTCAGTAAAAATTGTTTTCTGAGGATTTAGATAAAAAGTTTCTTAGGAATTGACCTGGTACTTGTGTTAAATCAGAATGACACGCATAAAAAGAAAATTAAATATTTACTTTGAAGCTATATTCATATAGAAATAAAATTAGGTATATTGGTTAAAGTAAATTGTAGTCACAGCATGTAGCTCATTATGTAGTAGAAGCAGTAGGAGGTATACCTAATATTATAAAAAAGATGCATGGGGGATAAAAAGTTGGTAACATTTCTTAAAACTGTCCAGCAGCAATATTTGACTAATATGAAAGTAAAGTATATACAGGGTCCGTAAGGTCCTTAAGAGTCCTTAAAGGTCCTTAAGTTTTTTTGGAATCGATTTTTGATCCTTTTATCCTGAATTTTGGCCCAAATCGGCAGAATTTCCTTAATTTTATTCATCTGAAATTTCTGTCTGTTTTTATGGCTGCCATTTTGAGTGTGAATTAGCATTTTGAAGGAACATTTTTGGTGATTCACTGACATATATAGTCCAAAATGTCACGCCCAAATATTACTCGGGCTAATTTTTTTTTAGTGCACCGTATTGTTATAACCGAATATATATCGTGAGAAGTTTATTTCGGCTTCATTTCAACAGATGGCAGCATTTGACTGAAGGTTTCAAAGGATAGAGGTTAAAGTTAAAAGTGCAAAAACATTTTTAAAGAAAGAATAAAACATTTTTATTTTTCTCTGTCATACTATAAAGTTCTATTTTGGCAACTTATACAATATTTTGAATCTGAAAAATAAACAAGGTATAATGCTAGCAAAACAAAATTAGCTATGTAATGAATTAAAAATATCCTCTTCCTAATTTTTTCATAGTAAGTTTTTCCCATGTAATTTTCTCAGAATATTCCGAGTTCTCAGATTATGCATCAGTTTTCTCTATAAAATTAATTTTACACTCCCCCCCCCAAAAAAAAATATTTCTAGCTTTTTGCTGTTACAGAATTGGTAGGGATAATTTCTCTTTACACATTGCAGCCTGGAAAGGTTAGAAGGATTTGAAGGCTAGATTTATAGACCCATGATTCTAAAAGATTCGAGAAATATGTGACAAAATGAAAAAATGTCTGCATGGCATCAACACGTAATATATGCATTTTACAGAAAGTTTGCAATGAATTTCTTACTTTTTGGAGAACGTCCTGAAGAGCAGTGAAAACATAATATTTGACTGTTTTACTTGTAATACTAGAATCTTTATCTTAACATGTTTATATTCCCTTTATTTTCTCTACTTTTCATTAGACACAAGCATGGAAAATATTGTTTTAAAAATGCTTCTAATTTATCACATGGACAGGCGTGGAATAAAAGATATAAAAAATTGAAAACTTACAATTTAAAAGATTCATCTAATATGTCTTAATGCGTCATACACAGAGCTAGGGCTAGGGTTTCTCCTATCTGATGCAATCTCTGTGGATCCTAAATTCTGCTGCATAGTGCCTTTCTAAATTTTGCTTCCAATGTCTGCTCTAAATTCTAAAAGTTTTCCATTTCTAGATTTTGTTACTTGATGTGTCACTAAATTCTAAAAATTTTGCCACACCAGCTCTGCAACCGACCCTTACCGTATATATTTCATATTTCTTCTGAATGTACATATTACTAAAGATATAAAATTAGCAGCTTTTTCTGTACATTCTAAACGCACTTTTTTTTTTTAGAATTACAGAAATCCTTATTTAAATCCGAAAATTCTAAAATGGAAAGGAATCATATTGAAGAAACTGAATACATAAGGAAAATTATTCTACAAAGATATGTACAGTTATTATAATATAAATTACTCTGTTGTTTATGATTTCAGCCTTTATTATATTTTCCCATTTCTGTTTCGTCATATGATAGAGTTATTGAGCCAGCTTAAATTAAAATTAAGCTGCATAGTCTTTTATCACTATGTCCACATGCATCATGATGATCTCTTTCTATACACAATGAATGACCACTAGTCCACATTTTTAGTTTGAATTTGACTGTTCTTATTTAATTATATCACCATGAGCTAAGAGGCTTATTTAAACCTTTATCTGTTGGGAGGGTTGGATTATTTGACTACTAAATCAAGTAAACCCTTATGAGTAAGTACATTGTGGAGAGGTTGACAAGTTAGGAGATAAAGCACGCAAAAACTAGTGAGAACACTAGGTTTGCGTATTGAGACAAATTTCTGATTGTTAGAAAAGATGCTTAAAGAGAAGGAAATTGATATGCAAAAAATTATCCAAAATGCCTGGGAAGGTTTCAAATTAAAAAGACACGTAAATATTTTGTTGAATGTTTTGTTAAATTCATGTAAAACTTATTTGCATCTAGTGAGACTTAAAATAATACAAAATAACTTATCACCTCTGGTGCTTTAGTGGCTTAATAAAACCACCTGGAACTCTACACAAAGCAAGGACACTAACTAACTGTGGGAGACAGAGCCCAACTGACTTTCAAAACTTGCCAACCTTGCCTACATAATGCCTTTCAGGTTTCTTCCCATCAGCAGGTCTCTGTAGGCAAGCAGCTGTGACAACATCCAGTCTTTTTTTATGAATCATGTTTGTTATGATCTTACTTCTCATTTTAACCTATGCTACATGACATAAAATCTACCTGCTATTTATTAAACCTCTAGACTGTGCACCTATGTGACAAAATGAGATATTTAAAAAAAAAAATCAACATAAAGCTAACTGTTAGTAAAACGTAAATAAAATGTCACTTGTCTTCTTTCAAATATTTCCAAATATTATGAGTGTAAAATATTTAATGCTACTTGGGAAATTTCATAAAGTTTATTTTATTCTCAAACTTATCAATAATTGTGTTAATTAATTCATGTTTTAATAATAATACATCCTGCTTGCGGATCTATTTTATTTTTAGGATGGTATTACCAGTGCAGGATTTACGTATAAGCTATACAAGCTATAGCCTAGGCTTCCATTTTCTTGGAGGCCTCCAAAAGATTAAAATATAGTATAACAGACTCGTGGTCCCATATCTCAAATAGCTTATGGCCGTATCAAGTCTAAATCCGGCTCTGGGTATTACAAAAGTGAAGTTCAGGCATAGATAATAATTTTAATTGAATTTATTCAGTTCCCATGTGCTCATAGGTCCTTAATTTTTTTTTATTAATGAATGGTCTGTAAAAGTACTTAATTTCTGTGTGCAAAAATGTGCACGAACCCTGATATATCATATTAGATGGAAAATTTTTTTTAGGTAAAGAAGAAATACAAAAGGAAATTTGTATTTAGATAGATAATTTTAGTAGAACTATAATTAAAATTGTTGTATTTCCCCATGCAATGCAGCATGAGACAAATTTTAAGAGAAGGCTATGCCGGAAAAGTGAAAATACAAGATTGTGTGCATTTGACATTTAATAAATGGGTATATCTTTAATTCGTATTGAAATTGAATAAATGTAATTGAATGCTATGTTAGTTGTAACCGTAATTCAATCATCTTATTGCTTTCCGTTTATTTCGAGAAGCGGAAATTGCTAGAAATATCTCGCATGGCCAATTGAAAACAATAAAAAGCCAGCGAGGGAGCATCTCGGCTCAATTGCTTTGTTATTGTTGTTCTGAGTTGTAGTTCCATGTGAACTGAGATAAATCGAATTTAGCTCTCTCCTAAAATACACTTTGTGTTGCTTTGTATTTATAATTTTTAATAGTTTGAAGTTTAACTACTGATTATACTGCATGATATTGTAAACCCTTCTACAAATATATATGAGGAGAATTCAGGAGTTCTGATATATTTCTGTTGATAAGAATAAATTTTATTAACTTATTATCAGACTTGTGCATTCAATGTATTATGAACCCGTACACCCTCAACAATTTTTGGCGTCAGAAGTGGGATTGAATGCCAATAATAAGAGTGATGGAGAAGCAGTTAAGACAGCTGGTGATGACCTTTGCTGCGTTTAAAGAAGAGCTGAAAGCTAGCCAAAATTCTGTTAAAGAAGAGATGAATGCTAGCCAAGAGTCTTTTAAAGAAAAGATAATTGTGGCTCAAGAAGAGATAGAAGAATCTGTTAAAGAAGAGATAATTGTGGCTCAAGAAGAGATAGAAGAATCTGTTAAAGAAGAGATGACTGCCCTTCAAGAAAAGGTGGAAGTATCCGATAAAGAGATAAAAGTAGTTAGAAAAAGATTCAGGCAGGGCAAGAGGAAATAAAAAAAAGAAATTACCTACATAATAGAAAACAAATTTGAGTCTATGGAAGGCAGAATAGATGCTGTTGAAAATAAAGTTGGACACATTGAAGGAAGAGATTCTCCTGTGAAAAAACAAATAGAAGAGAGAATTTCTTCTGTGGAGCAACGAATTAAAGGAAGGGTTTCGGCCATCCAACATAAAATCGAACAACGAGTTTCTGCTGTCCAAGGACATAATCGAACAACAAATTGAAGACAGAGTTTCTGTTGTCATCACCAAAGAAGTTGACACATTAAAGAAATGCAAGCAACAGCAGGAAGCAATTCTGATGGCTTTAAATTTTTGTCAATGTTTGCTCATTCCTCTCCGTGTGTCCACATATGATGGGAAGATCTCTTGGCAAGTATATAAGACACAATTTTCTATAGTAGTGCAAGCGAATGGATGGAATTCCCATGCTAAGGTCTGTCATCATGCCATTTCTGTGAAAGCAGACACAGCGGATATCCTTCAGACTCTTCCTGAAAACCAAAGGTTAGATTTTGAAGCTGTATCCGGCGCATTCAGGCTGCACTTTGGAGAGAAATGTTTAAAAGACTGCAGCAGGCTTCAGTTAAAATCTTGTCAACAGAAGCCCATGTAAACACTCCAGGAGCTTACCACGCATGTTGAAAGGCTGTGTTATCTCACCTTCTTGGAATGCCCGACAGAAATGAGGGAAATCTCATCTCTGCAGTACTTCATCGATGGCATCCAGAAATACAGAAAGCTCTGCGAATAGTGGATGTCAAGGACTTAAAGTGCTCTAGTGTATGGTATGAAATTCAAGGCAGCCCAGCAAGCTCGTAGAGACCGACACCAGTGGATCAAGTGACGTCGCATTTAGATGATTTATCCAGACAAGTCAATGCTTTGTTACAGAAAGTGATAACAGACTGACTCTAAAGTTTGGAATTGTAATGAAGGCCACATACGATGGAACTGCAGAACATTGCAGGCACAGAAAATAAAACAGATGATTTCATCAGACAATTCAGTACCTTAAGACGGAATAGAAGTGACAAAAAACAAACCCTAAAGTGGTGTTGAAGGCCTGGAACTGTGGTGTTGAAGGCCAGAGGAATTCCAGAACACTCTGGGATACAGAAAATAAGACCATTCCGCAGCAAGGACGTAAGAAACAAATTAGTGGCCATCTCACAGAGCACAGTTAGAACAATAATGAAAAACCCCATTTTAAAACACTCAAGATTTCTGCAATGAGTGGTTACAGTAATGGACTCTTTGTCAATCGGCATATCGATGGAGTTCCTTGCAATATGACCATCGCGCAGGAGCCAATGTTACCATCATTGGGAAAGATTTAGCTCAAGAATTTAAAGATAAACTCATTTGGATACCATCCTGCATTACCCTTCAGTCACGAGGGCTACAGGAGATCAATTCATTGAAGGAGACAAAGTGTGGTTGTGAAATGCGCTTCAATGGAAAAGACTCTGGTCTTAAACTATAGTCACATTGGGATGGTCCTTACACAGTCCTAAATAGGCTGAACAACATAATAGTTCGGATCCGTAAGTCATTCATTTCTAAGCTCAAAGTTGTTCATTACGAGAAGCTAGCTCCTTTCTGTGGCCATAGTGTATATAATGTAAACAGTATAAGACCATGGTCCTTTTTGTTTCTAAATTTGTTTACTCATTTATTGATTTAATACTTGATTTGTTTTGCTACTTATTGCAGTTATTGTTTATGTTGTTTGTTATTGTGCTATAATGTTTATTATTGCATTGATGCCTTAGTTGTATGACTTCCCAGGGATTGTACTGCCCGGGATGTGCAGTACTTGGGAAGGGGGCAGTGTTATGAATTTTGTATTTAGATATATAATTTTAGTAGAATTGCAATTAAAATTGTATTGTTTCCTCATGCAATGCAGTATGAGACAAATTTTAACACAAAGCTATGCCAGAAAAGTAAAAATATAAGAGCTTATACATTTAGCATTTAATAAATGGGTATATCTTTAATTTGTATTTAATCTGAATAAATGTTGACTGAAATATAACTGAATGTTAAATGTAAACTTAATAACTGACTGCTATGTTAGCTGTAAACATAATTCCATCGTCTTATTGCTTTCCAATAATTTCGAAAAGCAGAAATTGCTAGAAATATCACACGCGATCGGTTAAAAACTATAAAAAGCCAGCAAGATAGCATCTCAGCTCAGTTGCTTGGTAATTGTTGTTGCTAGTTCTGCGTGAACTGAGATAAATTGGAGTTAGCTTTCTCTTTAAATACACTTTGTATTTATCATTTTTAATAGTTTGATGAATAACTACTAATTATAGTACATAACATTGTGGACACTTATACGAATATCTGAGAGGAGAATTCAAGAGTTCTGATATATTTCTGTTGATAATAATGAATTTTATTAAATTATTATCGGACTTGTGATTTCAATCTATTATGAACCTGTATGCACGCAATGATATTATTAGAAAAGAGTCAGAATCAAAAGAGTATTGTAAGAAAAAAGCATAATAAATTTATAGAGTGCATTATGTAGCTATTCTAGAATAAATATGTTTTTCTTGCAAATAATTTTGAAATCATCTTAATACATGTTTTTAGATTTTAAAAAATATTACTTATTTAATTAAATGTATTTTTTAGCCCAATGTAGTAATTACTTTCTGTTAATTTTGAAAAGGAATAATATTTATTGTGACTGATGTACTGTTATATATCTTCTTTTCAAAACTCCAGGATCTTTTTTTAATAGCGCAGATGCTTGCTTTTTACATACATATTTCACTCATGAGAACTCATAGAGTAAGATAATTGAATTTTTTAATGTTCTTAAAATTTTATTGTATTTTGCATCAAATGGATAAAATTATTTAGTTGCTTATAATTACTCTGAAAGTGTATTAGAAAATTAACTGCACATGTGGTTGAAATGAAGTTAAAAATGAGTTAAAATCTTGATTGACATGCTGAAACCATGTTTAAACACATGTAAAATAAATGTACTGGAGAATTCGCAGATCACCTCTCTGCCTCATCCATCAGCTGCAGCTGGAACAGATGGCTTCATCACACATGTCACATTTAATTGGTTTACACAGAGTTGCAGTATTCAGAATTGCAGTCCATGTGTACAAAATATTGAAATTTTAGTGTGTTTGCAATTCTTATCTATAGTTGTCTTGATGTTGAGCTGATATAGTGAGTTTCCTTGTTTATCATCATTGTAAATCAGGATAATGTATACACCTAAAGTATCTATTGTAGCAGTGTGTGGTTTATGTAATTTTATTAGTTTCCAGATGGATATGGTAAAGTTTGTAACCACATATTTTGAACATGGAATAGATGCATGAGGTGATTGGGTAGCGGGTAAAAGCTCCAATAAATTTATAATTATTTACGTTTGCAGTGGTAACAACTTTACATTTTGGTAAATGAATGTAGAAGCTTGTTTATCGATTTTCTTGTGCAAAACGGAATATAATTACGTACTACAAATTGTTGAAAAGAATACATGTTTTCCTGATTTTATGGAAAAACGCACAAAGAAAAGCAATAAACAAGCTTCTACAATCATTTCTGAAAAGTAAAGTTGATGCAAGCATCAAATAACTGTAAGTATATTGTAACTTTTATTTAATACACCTCATGTATCTACTTAGTGTTTGAAAGATGTGATTACAAACTCTTCGTTACCACATCTATCTGGAAATTGTTAAGATCAGGTAACTCGGATATCACCTCAGTAGATTTGTCTATAGGAATTTCTGAGTATAAAAAATATATCTCCAGGCTCTCTACCAACAAGTTTATCAAAAGAAAGTAGCACATCTTTAATCAAATACTTTGCCGAGGTTTCCTAATCAATAACTGATTGTGAGAAGGCTGAAATAATCACCAAATCTCAGCACAAAATTAGAGAAGCGATTGAAATCGCCACTAGGCCACATTGTAACAGTGACCTTTCTTTCAGTTTTTCATTTGGTACATATAATCTTTCAGGTTATGTGCCAAATATTCACCACTTTTCAATCTTTCATTCACCTGGACTGTGGCTCTGAGTGCTGCAACCCCGCAGAATCTAATAAAAGATTATAGATGTAATTAAGGCATCCATTCCAGTTCTAGCTGAAGAAATAGACAAGTTGTCTGCGAATGCTTCTGTACATTTATTTTATTTGCATTTAACCATGTACCACCACGTTGACTTAGAGTTGTTATTTCATTTTTATTCTGAAAATTATTTCATCATATTTGGTCGTGCAAAATTGGGGAAATTAAAGGTTGAATTTCATTAGGAACCCTGTCTAGAATTTCTGGCTTTTCCCAAATTTGATTAGTTAAGTGGGGGTTGTATAACGTTTTTATTTGTTTATGTTTTTTGAGTGTTAATAATAGATTTATTTTGTTGTTTTGACATTTACAGGAAGCAATGGCCCACAACGCTTTTGTATTGAAAAAGTTGGTAAAGAGACTTGGCTTCCAAGGAGTCACACGTGCTTTAATCGTCTTGATCTCCCTCCTTACAAAAGTTACGAGCAGCTTGTTGAAAAATTGACATATGCAATTGAAGAAACTGAAGGTTTTGCACAAGAATAAGTGGAAGCTAATTATCTTTTTTAATTTCATCTAAAATGTCTTCCGAAAGAAAATGTGATGCCTCTGAAAGTAGTATGATAACTAAGTTTAAAAACTGTTTGCCACTTGAAAAGATATGGCTGCTTCTCTTTGCTCATCATCAGTAAACTGCAGAGGCATGCCAAGGCTTGCAAAGAATTTCACTGTCATTGAAGATGACAAGCACGATGACATACATGTAATATGTAATGGATCTGTGGTTATTTCTAAGATGCCATGGTGAAATATTTTATTATAATTATCTCAAGATGGGTAATTTTCAACTTTAATTCTCAGAAGCAAGTTGATTTAGGTGCAGTGTGAGACAATAAATGCTATGATGAATGCCTTTGGCTTCGTATAGCATTTAGGTAACATATCTGTAATTTATCTGAAATCAATAATATATTGACATTCCGAAGTTACCTATATCTTGGTTCATTTTAAGACCTATTCTGTAAATTAAAAGGAAATATAATCATGGATCAAAAGATCAGAAGCTGCAATTGTATAAGACAGCAACTGCTTGTATTATTCTGTAAAATTATGTAATAAATATATTCTTTTCCTGATACATTTTGAGGTTAAGGATTCCTTTTATTTCTCTCTCTCTCTCTCTCTCTCTCTATATATATATATATACATACATACATATATGTGTGTGTGTGTGCGTGTGCGTGTGTGTGTGTGCGTGTGTGTGTGTGTACTCTATAAATGAGGGAGAAGTCATTTGTTTTATATTTAAAATCTAGTTCTACAGAACAGAAGATGTGATATAAAAAATCCTTTTTGATACCTGTAATAAATAAATCATATTTGTTTAGTATATAAAATAGCATTTTTGACATAGTCTTCCATAACAAATAATTTATTAATGGCTGTGGACCATAAATATTTTAGGTATATAATGCACATAAAATAGCTAAAGAAGAAATATTTCTGATAGCTGAAGATTTGAAACCTTTATTTTGCCTTTAATCTGTACATGAGAAGGAAGCATAGTGTAATAATACATTCCAGATGAACTTTTATGCAATAACTAATTATAACCATTAAATGTTTCATTTCAAAAGTATCTGCATTATTAGTATTACATTCTCAGTTGTTATGCTTTACATCTTTTAAAACAAACAAAAATCATCCATATAGCTGATTCATTCCTTATCAGTCTCATCCAGTTATCCTAAGCTTGATAACATCAAGTTATTTTTCCTACATATTATAGCTTTAAATAAAATACATACATAATAAACATTAGAACCTTTAATAAAGTAGAGAAATGAAAATTAGATTTGAAATACTAAATTTTTTCCCTACTATTACAAACGTTATGTACTACAGTCAAAAGTCGTTAATTCGGACACCCATAATCCGGAACGATCCGGACCTCAAAGCTAAAAACTTTCTGCGCATGTGCCGCGTTTTACGCATGCGCGTAAGACCTTGACTACTGCGCATATGCGTGTGCGCAAGTGCAGAATACGTTTTCGCCTGCGCGTTTAATGTATAACGGACGGTGTAAGCTAAAATTATCTAATTATCTATTTCAGTTAATGTTAATGATTGCGTTGTTCCTTAATCTTCGAATTGGATCCCGCTTATTATTTTTTGCAGACTGTAAGAGCAATTTTATAAAAGTAAACTTGAACTTTCGATTATGTCAAATAGAATTTCCGATGCGGGAACTTCCAAAGGATCTACAAAACGAAAATATGTTTCGATGTCCAACAAACAAAAAGTGGAATTGCTGCAAAAAATGGATAAAGACATGAAGAATGTGACAGAGAGGTTAGTGAAAACGAAAAAATTTCGATTGACAAGTTAGTCGGTATTCTCGGCACAGCAATTAACGAGACTTGAACAGCGGGACTTTGTAACTGAACAAGAAATTATGTCTGTTTATAGAATTAAAGAGAAAGTATTATCACATAAAATGAAGCAACTTAAACAACTTACATTGAAAGAAATGTTTAATAAAGTAAACAAATATTAAGCTCTTTTTTTTTTTTTTTTTTTTTTTTTTTTTTTTGTAAATTTTGATAACCTTTACATCATAATTGTTCTTTATTTCATAAATTACGGTTTCATATTTTTAATTTTAGAATTTCTGCATGCCGTCTTACGAGATTTAAACTGATGATCTATAATCCAGAAAAATCGATAATCCGGAATCGCCGAAGTCCCGACGAGTCCGGATTAACGACTTTTGACTGTACTAAAATAAATCTGTTGATCTGTATGAATTGGTAACTAAGAGAAAACTTATTTCAAACTATTTTCTCTTTTGTATGGGATAGTAACTAAAAGAAATTATTTCATAGTATTTTGTGGTATCCCCACTTCAAGCAGCATAAGCTAACTTACTTTATATTGGTCTAGCATAATGTTTGTTGAATTTCTCTCTAAAAACTGTCTTATGAATTTTAATTTTTGAATATTGTAAAATTTTTATATTTAAGATATAATAGCAATACACAAGACTCTCCTGGTCTTTGTTCGTGTTTGGTTTTCTAAAACTTTGTGGCGTATGGTCACCCCCCGCCTTCTCTTCACCTCAGACCTCCTCTTACTCTGTCCGACTGTTACGTCATGCGCCTCTTGGTCAGACTTGTCATTAAGCTGGCAACATCACACACATTAGTGATAGCCCGGCAATACATGTATTGATTGATTGATTGATCACATCCTTTAATTCATACACATTGCAAAAAAAAAAAAAAAAAAAAAAATGGTTTTGCAGATTGGTGAATTTTGAGGATTAAAGGTAATGTGTCTCAATTTTCTGTACATTTTCCCCTTTTTTAACACTAAATTTGGATTATTTGCACTTAAATAACTAAAGCAAACTTATGTATTAGTTCTTTAATAGAAAGCCATTATATTTTTCATGCAATTATACGCATACATATATTAATGTGATGAGTGCTTACTTCTGTATATTGAAAGCAGAACATTTGTTACTTGTTTTAATACTGTTATGTGCATATTGGTTCAAAATGAATTAAATGCACAAAGAACTGACGATAACTTGATGAAAATTATTTTTTCAAAAACGCTTTACCATTGTAGAATTCTTGACGTAAAAGTACTCGTACAGCTGTTCTAATTATGACAGCACAAACAGTACTTAGTGCTTCAAACTACTAAAAGCATCAAACACAAGGCAATACAAAAAAAAAAAAAAAATGTGTAAGCTTGCATAATCATCTCTCTCAGCACACTCAAAACTCTGAATTAAACTGAAACTCTTTCTGTTCTTATCTGGTATTGCCCCATGCTCTGAGAAATTTCTAGTGCCTTTAGTATCGCTAATTTGTTGGAAGGCATACATACAGTTAAGAGTTACATAGGGATCTCAGACCTAAATATTGCTAAGTTTGGCAATTTCTTGACAAATTTGGTGACAAAAATTAGTCTAAAACTGTCGGCTGCATCTTGCTAATTTGGCGAAATAGCTATTTACCTCAATATTAAGTGAATTACTCCAGCGATGCTTCGCACTCTTGATTGCCTTTCATGTTGCATTACACAAGAGATACTATACGTATAATTTCAAAAAATCATTTACATGTGTACAAAATTAATAACACTGCCTCCTTTTCCCATTGCAAGTCCCAAGCAGTATAAAACCTTTACAGAAAGGCCACACTTACAGTTAAGGAAAATCAATAACTGAACATGAAATGCTATACTAAATAATAATTTCAATGTATAACATACAAACTATCAAATACTAAATCAATAAATGAATGCCTGCATTTACAAATTTATATACATATAGGGCCATGGTGTTAATATACTATTTACTTTATATACACTATTGAGACTATATACACTATGTACCATGGTCGTAGTAAGGGGCTAGCCCATCATAATGAATGACTTTAGGCTTAGAATTTGATTTCTAATTTGATTATGATGTTCACCATGTTTAGAACTGTGTAAGGATCATCCCAATGTGGTTGTAGTTTAGAGGAGTTCTTTCTGTCGAAATGGATTCTGTAACCACATTGTGTCAGCATCGGATCTGCATCTTCTCTGTCACTTAACTAACTCGCTGTTGTGCAAATTGTACATCATTTCAAAGCATGCCTGAAGATCTTGAATATACTCCAAAGACAATGAAGGTGCATCTGGACGGTGATCAAGCAATAGATCATAAGGCAGATAATGGTCACAACTAAACAGCATCTGGAATGGGGAGCACATAGTCTCATTGACAGCACTGTGATAGACCAGTAAGAACAGAGGTAACTTCTAGTCTCAGTCCTTTTGGTTTCTGGAAGCCATCAGTGAGAAGTTACTAAGGATTATTCAATTAAACTTAGCCATGCTAACATGCCATCCTGACTGTGGACTTTTTTTAATGACCAGGCACCTTAGTTAACCATTAGCCCAGAAGAGGTGGTCATTTCATTATGGAAGTGCCTAATAGCTGGCCACCATAGCCTCCTTTGAAGGGACAGACAGTTACAACCATGCCTTCTCTGGCATTCGAACTTGGGCCCATTGCTATGGCAGTTCAGAGTCAGTAATCACTAAACTGGTTGGGTGGCTGTGAAGATGAATCTTGTTTTCATTTTGTCTATACCGAGTAGTTTACATAGTTCTTTAATGACAACCAAGATAAAATTCCTTCCTTGATCAGAATGTAGCTGAAGGACGCACTCCAAACCTGAAAATCGAGTGCTGTATCATTCCCTCTGTTACTGTGATAGGCTTGTGATCAGATATAGGATATGCTTCAGGTCTTGTGAAATAATCAGTGACAATGAGGATGTATTTGTTGCCACCAGTACATCATGGCAGACAGCCCTGCATATTAAAAGTGATGCGTTCGAAAGGTGTGCGTGTATTGTAACTTTGCAGTTTCTGGTCCACACAGGAATCACAAGATTGGAACCACTTTTGCACATCAGCCTTTGCTTTACTTCAGTAGAAGTGTTCGCAAATAAATTATAACTATGTATTAAAAAATTTATGATTTATAACTCTCAAATCGTATGCAAAGTCTTCATTATTCCGAAGTAGCCTCCTGTTGGACTGCTATGGAATTATTCTTTAAGAATGTCTCGAACACTAGAAGTATCAGTTGCATTACAATGCTTTTTCATCATCATATTCAGACTTCAGATACAAGACACTGTTTCGAATATAGAGTGAGTCCTACTATTGTTTTGTCATTGGATTATAGATCAAAATGTCCTCGTTGATATGTTTCTGATTTCAAAACTCCGTTAAGTCAGTTTTGGGTTTAATGTCGCCGTAATCTTTCCTGATGTCTTTGTCACTCCATTAGTCTCAGTCAAACGATGCTGAATTTGTAACTGGACATATAATGGATAAACCAGCTCGTACATTGCTTAGATCCTGCTACAGTATTGCAGTTATCGAGACAGGAACTTTTAGGCGGGGCGTCGGTGATTCCGTGTGACGATTCTTTCAGCACCTTCGTTAAATCAATTTCCTGTAGCTCTCTTGTATCGGCTGTTCATTTTTTCCATTACCTAGTTGTCTTGCTGCCATGCAGAACTGAGCTTCACTCGTGAGTGTACTTCTCTAGAAGTGAAAGTACA